AACTTTTATCTGAAACTAATCGGCACACAATGAATTTTTCCAACCAGGAGATCTTACAGCACCTTCAGCTCTCCTGTGAAATATGAATCTTAATTTCCACATAGGAGAAATGTTACAATCTTTGCATTCTCCTGTACCTGAAGAATGGTGTGTGTGCCAAAAAGCTTGCAAATAAAGACTTTCCTTGGCAAATATCTAGTTGGTCTAATACAATATATCACCTCTACCACAAGCTCTGATTCCATTTTGATGAAGATTTTATGTCAGACATGGAATGTTTTCAAATTATTCACTAAATAATGCAAGCAAGGAGCAGGAAAGATAGCAAGTATCATCTCAGAGGTCTGGATAGCATCAGCATATGTTTCTTTTATATTTATAATTATTCCTGAATTACAGCCAGCTAATTGAAGTCAGCCTCTTTCTATTTAAGGTTAACAAGGTGTTTTTTAAAGCAGGATTGTCAAATCACCTCAATAAATTAGGCACCCAGTTCCAGTTGACTTAAATCATCTTACAATGCAGAAAAGTCTGTAAATAATTTGCATACAGAGCACCAGGGAGAATCAGGGTACTGAAAAGTGAGAAGCAGGAGAGACTATGGCATGTGGGATATCAGTGTGATCAGAGAATTTCAACCTCCTTTCTCCCCTACCTGACCCACATTCTCCTATATGGCAGCCTTATGAGCACCATCCGTCTGTCAGCATCTCTCTTCCTGCTGTCAGTTTTCTTATAGAAAATATCATCAAGCCAAGAAGTCTAGCAAAAAGTTCTCAGCAGAGATAAGTTGGAAGAATGGTGACATGAGAACTGGAACACAAAGTGGAACTCTCATTGATAGAGAGATTTTTTTAAGGCCAGAAGGAACAATTCAGTTATTTAATTTAACCTGTTGTATTACAAAGGCCATAGACTTTCAAACCATTACTGACTGTATTCAACCCAATAGCTTGTGTCTGATTAAAGCTTATCTGCTAGAAGGACACATAGTCATCATGAAACAGAGAATCTTCCAAGCAGTGAAACTTGTATCCATTCCACTTTTGAACAAAGGTCAAGGATATCTAAGTTACTGAATGGTTTTATCTGAACATCGTTGAAATTGAATCATATGCTGCTGCTATCTTTTAAGGGTGGTGAAAAGGACATTTTTCTTTATCTGTTGTATATGTGCCTTCTGAACAAGTTGCAGAAAATTATCTAAATCCTGAGAAGACTGTTGAAGAGAGAAGCAGGTCCAGGATTAATTGTACATACCTACTCAAGGGAAAAAAGGGTAAAAAATCGGTGTTAATGCAGGCCTCAGTGTCTCCAGTAAATATGTAGTGATACATACTGTCAAAGATCCATGTCTTAGTTATAAGGAGAATTAAAAGGGAGCCTTTTTTTAAAAGAATAAAATTAGTTGTTGCTTTTTAAATGAGTAGCCCTGTAGAACTTCTGAAAAATTTGATGTTCATCTATGCTAATATCCCAGTAGCTGAATACACAAGGAATGTGGAATCAGATATCTGTTAAAACAAAAGTGCTACTTTACATGTAAAAACCAGCAATAAAAGTTGCTGGAAGTTTGTAAAAGACTTTATCCCACTCTTAAAGAATACGTTGCTATGCATCATGTTTTCTGAGGACAGCAACCCAACACATATGTAAGCTCCATTGTCTTATGTCATGCTGTTTTAAATCTGTTTTGGGGGGTGTACCAGCCTAGTACATAGATTGTGCAGTTCCCTTGTTTTAATTCCTCTTTTGCTTTAACAAACCAAGGTGATAAGAAGTCCCCTTTTGTGAGATGTTTCTTTTTGTTCCTTTCAAGGTAGAAGGTGAAATTGTAAAAATCTAGGGCTAATCCCTGCAAATTTTATCAGTGCATGTACATGCTTAAAAGTCCTAGTCAATATTTTTTCTGTGATAAGTATGAATTTTCCTGCGGAAGAAATTTATCAGGCTGCCCTACAGACCTTGATCTAAATCTATGAATAAAGCTTAAGCTGTGCAATCATGGTCCTTCTTACTGAAATATTGTCATCATTCCCACCCCAACTCACTCTCCTTCTCTTTATAATTATCTTTTTTTTTTTAAATGACAGCTGATTTCACACAGAAGACCATGGGCAATCAACCCAGCATTGTTCTTTTAGAGGCTTTTACGCTAGGGTTGATGACTGAATGTTAGAGAGCATTTCACTAGGCACCTACTAGCAATGTCAGAAATACCAATGAGTGGCTAAAAATAAGGTAAACCCTACCACACCATTCTTACTTCTACAGCATTACAGACAAACAGCTTTTGGGAAGTAATTAAATGAGATGAGACAGTGCAGAGAGGTGAAGCACTCCTTCAAAGCAGACACATTGGAAACATAGCTACCCACAATTCAAGACAAACTTGAATGCTTCTTGTGTATTAACCACTCGCTGGGCATGTCTACACATTCATTAATGTGCAGTAGTTACTGTGCATTTAGTTTAGTACTTGCTTAATGAAGTACTAACTAAATGTGCAGTAACAGTGCCTGCGCACGGTATTTTTGTGACACTTACTATGCAGTAGCATATGAGCACTTCTTTTGACCAGCACGCTACTGTGTAGTTTTAGGCTACCATGTCTTAAGTATCTCATGTACATGCACCCTCCGGGTTTTGTTCTTGCTTCTAATTTGCCCTAATCTTGTTGGCAAAACCCCTGAAACTAGAAGCTGAGAGACAACATCACCTTTACCTCTGTGTAGCCAAGTCATGGCCCATAGAGATTTTCAGTTTAGTGGAGTGAATGAGAGTTCCATCTGAGCTGAAATGCAATAAGAATCATTTCCTTCAAAAGAGGAAATAGTATTATAGGTAACTGAGAACTGTAGCTATTTCAGTACTTAATCACCTATATAATTTAACTTTATCTCATTTGTAGGGAAAAAAGAAAGGGAGAGAAACAAAACCAAGAAGTACTGCCTGTACAGTAAATTTCCTTTTAAAAAGCATTCCTTTTTAGGAAAGTTGCCTTTTAGAATTAAGGCAAAAATGACTACTGTTTAATTCAGTCTTGAAAAAGTATCATGGAAATGTACTAGCTCATGCACAAAATCTAGTTGCCTGTCTATTGAGATGATAGTGATAATATTTTATTAGCAATTTCTCAGTCTGGGTGAGTACAGTTTTGAAAGCCTCTCTCAGCCTGGAAATGAAATACACACAACATCAGTGACACAACTCTACTAGGATATTCATAGTTGTATATTATGGTGCATAATAACATCTTTCAAAAAGATGACACAGCTTCCAGAATTTGTCTCCACAGTTTCTTTATACCCAAGAAAAATGAAATAGATGGAAGGCTAAGTTGTCCTTACATGTAGGTTAAGTCTTCCTTTGTGAATATCATCAGTAGTAATCCATTTTCTGACAAAACTTTCGACTGGTTTTCTGCCATCCTATAATAATTGTGCAGGCTAAAGATCCGTTAAATAAATCAAAGCAGGAAATTCAGGATCATATTTCTAAGAAGAATAAAAAAAATCTGTGCTTCATTAATCACTTTGGTCCCCTTAGTGATAATTACCAATCATATGACCTGCTGAGCAACAACTGGTAGAAATAGTCTATTGAGTGTAAAATACATTTATAAAGTCTCTGTACATTTTTTAACTATCCAGTATAATTTAATTGAAATCTATAACTCTGCCTAAGAGATATATAAGATGGATTTGGGGGAAAAAATCTATAGAAAGGACATGATTCACAACTACCTTTTATCCATATCTATAGCTAGCTCTATATATCTAGCTCTGTCTATAGCCCTCTATATTACTCCTGTGCAAAATTTCACCAGGTGTTTTGTTTTGAAGCTGTTTTGACGCATTTCGAGCTCAAAACAGTGAAACTGAAATGGAACAAAAGGCTTTGAAATGAAACGAGGGCACTCAAAATGTTTTGAAAGTTTTGAAACGTTTCAAGTTTCAAAGCCAGGCTTGCTTGGCTTCAGCGCCAGTCCCAGCCAGCAGCAGCAGCCTGCTGTCATCCTGCATGCAGATCCAGGGGCCCACGCCCCCTGGGAGGAGTCTGGCACAGCTCCGCAGCCCTCCTTGGGGGTGTGGGCCCCCAGATCTGTGCGCAGGATGACAGCAGGCTGCCACTGCCAGCAAGTAATTCAACTTTTCCTTTCAACTGTTTGAGATGCAGTTTCCCAGAACCCTCTGCACTTATCTTCTTGAAACTTGGCAGTGTTCATGCCCTCAGAAGGGGCCACCATCCCTGCAGGTTTTGTCTGAATCAGGCAAGAAATGCCAAAGTTTTAGGCATTTTCATGATTCCCCATTATAGCCTATGGGCAAAACCTCGAAACAGCTGAACAGTTTCAACGAAACAAAACAGAACAGTACTTCAAAACAAAATGAAACAACAAAATGAAACACTGTCTCTTTGAAATGGTGAAATGGAAGTTGAAATGAAATGGTGCTGTTTTGCACAGCCCTAATCTATATTATATGTGGTCAAAATATGCTTTCTCAAGTTATTTCCATAAAAAAGTTCATCCACAAAACAGTTTTTATGGAAACTGCTTCCCTCAAAAAGTTCAATTTTTCACTGGAAAACTCTAAACCAAAAGGTTGAGTGATTGATTAAAAATTAAAATTGTCTACTGAATGCGTAAAGCACATTTTTTTCATTTTTCTTTTTTTAATGGAATAAAGAATCAATTTCTAACAAGCTTTAATACTTTTAAAGTAATTTCTAAAGAATGTTATTACATTTTATAGAACTAGATTTCTTTCATTTCTGTCAAATTCGATAGAAATCTTCCACAGAGTTAAGTATATCTTCCATAAATATGTGTATATTTGGATTGTTTCAAAGTAAGGGAGTATTGAATGAACTCAGATTCTCTTGGGGCTGGGGGGAGGGAACCAAAGGCTAAGGAATATGTTTGTTAAAAAAAAAAATCTCTGTCTGTGAACATGCTTCTGAAACCTGATGGATTTTTTTTTCATTGTTTATTTCAGCTACTACTGAAGTGTCCTTTTCCTTTGATGTTGGAAATGGCCCAGTGGAAATTGTGGTCAGATCTCCCAACCCACTCAATGATGACCAATGGCACCGAGTCAATGCTGAGAGGAATGTCAAACAAGCCAGTCTGCAAGTAGATCAGCTGCCTCAGGAGATCCGGAAGGCACCCACAGAAGGCCATACACGATTGGAACTATACAGCCAGTTATATGTTGGTAAGAAGCAGAGAAAATAACAGGGCCTGATTTTTCAGCTACTCAATTCCAGCCATGTCATATGCCTTCCATGGCAGTCACAAATCTACCATATTGAGTTAGCCTGCTTGCTTTCAGATGTTACTAACTTTGGGCATGTGTAGATGAAAAGGGGGGCCCTAAATTGAAGCGGTGGGATTTTAAAAACCCACCGCTTCAATTTAGGGCCTTTTAAACCCATGTCACGTGTGCATCCCACACTTACCTGCCTCTCCGGCCTCAGGGAGGGGAGGCCAAGCTGCTGACAGGCTGAGCAGTCTCTGGGCTGCAGGGGGGGCTGGTGCTTCCCTCTGTGGCAGCAGCAGCCCACAGGCACCTGGCTCAGGCAGTCCTGGGGGGCACCGCAGCTGTGGAAGGAAGCACCAGGCCCCCCTGCAGCTCACACAGGCAGGGAGGCTCCAGGAGGGAAAAAAATAATAGATCAGGCTCTCTGCTTTTCTTGGGCAGAGCCTGCCTTCCCAGGCTGCTGCCAGGCAGCCTGCAAGGCTTCTTGCAGTGCCCCTGAGCTGCTGCACCCATTTAAAGCGCATTACACCACCAAATTTCCTACAGCAGCAGTAATTAATGTACAATATGCCACTGATACACACAAACACAGACACCATTAAAGTGGTGCAAAAGCATTTAGCCTGCTTTTAAGTGTCGTGCACACATACCCCTCATTTCTTCTACACATGGCCTTTAACTACATTTGGGGTACAGAGAAGAGTGTGTTCTAGCAACATTTGTGCTTCTGTAGCTGTTAGTATCCACAGGGCTCTAGACTACAGGCATGGTGACTGTCATTAAATGGAATTTGTATTGCATGAAATGATGAACAAAGAAGTACTTTCCTACTTCTCCTGGGAGCTGGGGGGAAGCCCCTGTTCCTTCCCCCAGCCCTTAGTCATTCCCCCCAGCTCCTGGTTCGATCCCCCGGCTCCCAATCATTCCCCCTAAAGCCCCTAAGGCTTCTCCTAGAGCTGTTAGCACTGCATGGGTACTGGCAGAAATGATCAGGGAGTTGGGGGATCGAACCAGGAACTGGGGAATAGAACCAGAGCTGGAGGGAAGCCCCTGTTCATTCCCCAGTTCCTGGTATGATTCCCTGGCTCCCCCCATCATTCCTGCTAGCCCCCGTGGCTTTTCCCAGGGCTGCCAGCACTGCCTGTCTTGTCTTGGCAAGGGGGAAGCCAGGGGAGCAACTGGATGAGCTGCGGCTTCTCCCAGGGCTGCCAGCACAAGCAAGTGCTCATCCAGCTGTTCCCCCACCTGCTCCTGCTGGCACTGCCTAGTGCCTGCCTGTACAGTCTATGGCCAAATCTCTGAATTGATTCGGAGGCTCCTGATTCAGATTCAGAGATTCAGCCACTGAATCAGGCCATATCTCCTCCGAATTGAATCTGCTAACAAAGCTTTGGACAGCCCTATCAGAAAGTTCTTCCTAATTTCCAACCTAAATTTGGTCTGCTGCAGTTTGAGACCATTGGTCCTGTATAGTCACAGAGAATAGTCTAAATGAAATGAGGAGACCTGGGTTCCATTGCCTACTCCATCAAGAGAGGAATCTAAGGGCTGCCACCTCCAGAATAACTTGTAAAGTAGAGATGAGGGCACTTTCTTCAGAAGTTGGCAAGGTGGGTCCAGATCTGCTTATGCAGTCAAAGAAACTGAACCTGTGTGTCCCACAGCTGGAGTGAACATCCTATTCAATGTTCTATTGTGTAAGGCTGCTTGCAGATGTTTGGGTTTTTTTAAGTGCTTTACCAGACAAAGGAACGTGTTACTTTGACCCGGCTCCACAATATCTGGAAAGATTGGGCGCTTCAGTGGGGCTTTTTGATGCTTTCAGCTAAAGCCAATTCAATCAGCTATTAGATAAAAGTATAAAACTATACAGGCGATGTGCAAGCCAGGTCCAACTAACATGCTGCCTCTTCTGGGCATATGCTGGGCCCAGCGTGGGAGCACACAGAGTTTAAAGTAAAGCACTTTTTTTTTTATGTCTGCAAGCAGTAAATGTCCACTGCCAATATCTACTTTCTTCTGTTTCTTGTCACTCCAGCCCTGAAAGTTTATTGCTGATTGCAACCTTGGTAAATTCAGCCTAATTTATTAATAGTTTCAGGCTCTTTTTCAGCAAATTATTCACCAAAAAAAACATTGCCTAGCTTAAGATGTAATCATGACTCTCTCGTAGTATGTTGCTCTGTGTGCGCTTAGAGAAAGGTCACTTGGGCCCAAATTGTTGGTCAGCGGTAGTGCTTGCTATAAGAGGTTATTATCATCTTTAGTAGCAACCAGCAATATCAACATAAATATAACTATGCAAAAATAGATTAAAGCATTGAACCCATTATTTACAGCTATTCCTTTTTTCACAAATGGAGGATCTGACCTGAAAACTTACCTTTATTGGATGTTGATTCCCTAATGAATAGGGATGACTTAGGCCTTTCCAAAAACAATCCCAAATTACCTTATCTCCATCTGTGCTGATTATTTTGTGTACAAAAGATATAATGTAATTTAACTCCTTATTCGTAATTTTGCATTCTCTCTCAGGTGCTGCAGGAGGCCAAAGAGGATTTCTGGGATGTATTCGCTCCTTAAGAATGAATGGGGTGACTCTGGACTTGGAAGAGAGAGCAAAAGTTACTCCTGGGGTGAAACCTGGCTGCTCAGGTCATTGCACCAGCTACGGAATGTACTGTGAGAATGGAGGTAAATGCGTTGAGAAGTACAACGGCTACTCATGCGACTGCTCCAGTACTGCATATGACGGACCATTTTGCATAAAAGGTAAAAGCCCTAGTGCGATAAATCAAATTGCCTGGAAATAATTTGGCTGAAAAAAAACCACCCCACAACAGAATAACTGATAGGTTTGGTCATACTGTGTTAAATATAAGACAGTTGTATCCCTTAGTATTCCCTATAAGCATAATGTTATCCACCCTTATCCATTCTAAAGGATTTCTACACCTTTCTTGCAGCAATGTGTGTTCCCCATTTAAAACCAAAAGTACATGAAAAAATAAACCCTAAGACTCTCTGTACACTTTACAGCAAAGTCAAGTTATTATCTTAAGCTGCTGAATAATAAGTTCCTATTTGCACAGGGTAGCGTTTATTAATTTAAACAAAAGTGAGGGAGTGAAAGCACTAGCCTGAACTTTCCTAACAATGAAATATTTAGTACGGGACCTGAATTTGACTTTTTTTAGATTGGAGGCCAGTGTTTAGATTAGAACTCTCTCAGAGCTTTGGCTATACAGATCCAGAAGTTTGAGAGAGGTTAAACAACCTGAATCAAGATGGAGAGAGACAGTAGAGTGTTTTGAATGGGCACAGTGGCTAAAAAAGCAAATGTCGCATTCACCTAGTGCATTTGAACTGGTTTCAATATTAATTAAACTTAAAATTTTAACCAACTCTTTAATTTTAAGGAAGATTTCTATTACATCATATAGCTATCAACCAGTTTATACAGCTGTTGTCCAAACATTGCAAAAAACTGCAGGTGATTTTTTTTCCAGTTTTCTGTGGGTTTTTTGATCAGCAGTGATTAAGTAAGTAGTTTTCAGAGCTGCAATTTCTCAAACCACTGTACATTTTGCAAATCTTACAGCCATTCTTTTGTTTCCATACAGTTTCATAAGGCATTGCTTTATTTCTTTGCAACTAATGCCACAGATTTCATCAAATATTCTTGAGATGCTAATCTCTCAAAACAGTCCTCTTTCACTATATGTTATGTTTTAGAAAGCAATAAAATCACCTATTCTATTTCCTAAGTCTTTCTAAAAGCTGCTTCATGTGGTGCTAACATCGCAATTTCAGCTAAGATTACTTACTGCACTTTTCAATGGTTTTCATAATTCTAAGGGAACCTTCAAGTCTCATAAATTGTCTATCATAGCGTTCTGTTTTTAAATTACACACTACCAGTGATCCTATAGGCAGGGTCAGTTCGCCACCCATCAAATTTCACTTAAGTAGTTCATAAAGACTGTAAGGAATAAGTACTTTTTTTTTTTTAGTATTCAGTTTCCCAAATCCTTCACAGCTGTTCTTTTTCTTTCTTCCAAAGCCAGCCCTCAAGCATTAAGAGTTTGAGCTTTTCCAACCATGCATAAATGGACTGATTTGAAAGTAGAAAAGGCAGATTGGGGAACTCTTCACTCCTTCCCTGGTGCATTTTCCCCTCCCAGGCTTTGACCCCTAGTCTCTCTCACCCCCTCCCCTCATACAATAAAGACTTATTCTTTGTGCAGAATGACTGACAAAGTAGATCCTTTTTCTGCCCGTGGATTGCTTTTGCCTGGACAATTCTGATGAATTTCTGATAGTTTTTTTATCAATTCCAGTAATTGTGATGAATTTGTTGTTCAGCAGAAGGGAAGCATGTGATTACAAGGCTATTCTAGTTAATTGTTTCTGCTGTGCTTGCATAACAAGAAATTGGAAGGGTGCAAAATTCATCATTTCATTGTGCTATGGGGCTTCAAAGAAACTGCAGGAAGGTTCCCATCACTTCCAGAGCTGCATTTGTACTCAGTCTGTAGACTTTTGGGAATGTGAATATGATTACCTTAGTTAATCTGTAGTCTACATGAAACACCTGCCATAAATAATTTGCCACAAGTTGGAGGATGAGTTGCAGTGTGCTTTTAGAACTAACCCATGACCACCAGAGTTATCCCTGGAGGGAGCTCCTTCAGAAGAAAATAGAGGTTGTTTTTAACAATGTCATTCCCTTAAATGTCATATGTATTGATTCCAGAAAAGAGATGCTGCTGTGTTCCGGTGAACTTACTTTTAAAAATTATTCTATTTCACCAAATCATGTCACATTTTTTCATGTTTCTTTTAGGGAGAGGTCAGAACACAATGGCACCTTGTAGACTAATTCAGAAAGGCATAAACTTTCATAGGCAACATCCTTTTTTATCAGATGTAGTGCCATCTGATGAAGTTGACTTTCAGCTACAAAAGCTTATGCTTTTCTAAAGGAGTTAGTCTCCGAGGTGCCATGATGCCCAACTTCAAAATAACATTGCTAACTACCTCTCCCTTGTTTCTTTTACAAATGAGTAAACCACAGATTGAATAAGAAGTAGCCTAAGGCTTCTCCCAAAGCTAAAGCTAAACAAAATATTTTATACTTCCTAATTTTAACTGAACCATGTATAGAAATATCATAAAGGAAGTTGTACATTCCCTAGAATAACAGGACCTCATTTTTATCTGGTTTATAGACAGTATTGTAATAAAAATTATAATTAATATAGTTACAGTTTTTTTCTATATCAATAGGAAATATTTTCCTATCTTTGATATACTATATATTTACAACCTAATCAGAAGCAGAGTATATGAAAGAGTACTAAAAGCTTACGCAGCGCTTCATCTGTGGATGTCAAATGGTTTGAAAAATGTTAGCAGACATTACTATTTCCTTTATTTTTAGTGGGGATTGAGAGAGACAGTTGAAAAGTCAAAATTTTAAAAAGGACCTCTAATTTTGGGTTTCGTCAGTCTTTGCCGGTCCTGTTTTTAGTCCAATTTTTTTACAAAAGTACTGAGAGCACCCACAATTTCCTTTTAATTCTTTGAAGATTTGAATCAGGAAATCAAGGTTTGGGTATTCAAGGCTTGATATTCAAAATCTCAATGATTTTTTGGACATATATCCCTCAGTGATTTGCCTCAATTCACAGAGTGAGTCACTAGCAATCCTGAGTTTAAAACTTGGCTTAGCTAATTGTCAGTTCTCTATTCAAACACTAGATCTAGGCTTAGGAAATCTCAAACATATTTTATAAACTAAACTATGTCAAGCTATCTCCAGATTTTGGTAATTTGATTATTGTCATTTTTTTTAGTAAGCACTAAAATTTGACTTTTTTTGAGAAGTGGGCATCTCCTTCCTTCAAATCTAGTTTAGTGTTTGTATCTTCACAGTGGTTTTTCATTAAAACATTCATCAAATAAAAAAGCTTAAGGGTAAGTTAGGTGCCAAACAAGTAGCTTCTTAAACATCCCATGATCAAGGTAACTGTGAAAACATGAAATAACCAGTGCTGGTAATGAGACCGCTAAAACACTTCAGTTTCAGCCCATTGAGCTTTACGTTGTAAATTTAGCTTGCATTTGACCTTGTAAATCCAGTGAAATACTAGAACATATTGTAAATGTTGCCAATGTCCCCAGGTTTTCAAGTAAATCAGATCCTTCCTTTTGTTTCTAATAACACCTCAAGGAGTGTTTTACCATATGCTTCTTCTTCATGAAACAAGACTTGTTCTCTACTAGATGTAAAGAGAAAATACAAAAACAGTACTTGACAAGGAAATGATACACTGGCAAACTTGCAAAGCATGCTCTGTAAACTGTAATGAAGAATAACGTAATCAAATATCAAAATGTTGTGCTTCAGGCATAATTTCAAGAGATCTGGCCAGAAAGTTCACATATCTGGAATTTTGACTAAATTTCTCATTGAAATTGTCTTTTGGGACATCCAAATGATTTAAGACCATTTTTGTGAAGATAGTATCCCTTTTTTTAGCTAGGCCAATGTTGAGTTTTGGAGCTAGCTTGAATATCATTGTATTACTTGTTCTTTTAACTATAGTTACAATGTGTGGATCCACCTTTATTGATCTCCTACCCAGTCATTATTGCATGCGTAAGAGTTAATTGTACACTTTTTTCACACAGCCAAATACATTATTTGGTGCCTTTGTCAGGCCTAAGATGCATAGCTGCTCTGAAGAAGCAACACTTACACACGGCGATACATTTTCTTTTCTTAATGTGTGAGTCTTTTTTTGTACATCAAAATAAGAGACTGACAGCACTGGCTAGAGCCAGCCACCTGGTAGTAGAGAAATGTATTACTTCTGTTTGCTTGTTCCAGTTGACATCTCCCTTGGCAGAGATTGCAAATCATGCTGCATTGTTACATAGTTTAGTAATGTGCACATTGGACCTGGGATGAGGCAACCAAGCTCATTTTCCCCTTTGTAGCTAAGCTAGGATTTGAGTACAAATCTCCAGAGCTAAAAGTGAATGCACTAGTTCTAGGAAACTGTATCTAGTACCTTTTTCACCATGAGTAAACCTTCCACAGAGCTATAGATTTGAGCAATGAGAATCAAGTTAATGTCAAAAAGACCCAATGGGATAGCAAAATACTATTCAGTGGGCATGTCTACACAAGACGCTTTACTGCACAGAAAATGTAATTTCTGTGATCGTGGAGCTGGGCAGGGAACAGGCTCTACAGGCTCCCAACCTTCTCCAACCTGTTCCTGTATGGTATACATTTTCACACCCACTCGTAAGCATCACTCATGCTTACATACACAACATCCCAGACTTTTCTGTTCCACTATACTTGGTGACTGGCAACAGGGGTAATATGAAAAGTCTAAGCTAATAAAATACCATTGGCATAAGAGACTGCAACTAGTGAATGCTTCACAGGGTATCTGCTCATCATGCACAGTTAGGATATTTTTATTTATTAAACTTATCTGGAGAATTACTGATTAGCGACTGGAGAAAAATTGTACCGTCTCCAGTCTAAGTAACAGTAGGCAGTACATGTGATTGACACAGTAGGTATCTGCATATTACTATCCCTGTAGGGAGACGAAGTTGACAAAATGTACTTTGATTAGTATTAGTATTGCCGGTTTGTTGTTGTTGTTGGTTGTGCAATTGGCTATCATTCTTCTGTTCAGAACTGTTCAGTGAAATGGCTGCAATAAATCTGAGTCTCACTGACTTTT